ACCCTCTTTCATTCATCTTGGGGTACTTTTTCTTTATGATGCTTTCGTGAGCAGATAAGTAAGATTGAACTTCATCTGTGTTATTCAATGTATACAAATGCACTTGAACAACCACCTCAATACTTAAGCTCTTGACCTTTAAACCTTGTGCACCCACACCCTCACATCTTCCATTATGACGAGACTTAGGAACCCCTACAACATCTACTTCTGACAAATAGTTTGAACAAAACTCAATTTCTTTTTCTGCAATGTACCTCTCAATAATCGATGCTTATGGAAGGTGTGGGTTTTTTGTATACCGTTTTAGGATCTTCATGTATCGCTCTGTTGGATACATCCACCGTAAATAAATTGGACCATATAATCTAATCTCCCATACTAGATAAACAATCAAGTGAACCATAATGTTAAAAAATGAAGGAGAAAAATACATCTCTAATTGGCATAAGATAGTTGCAGCCTCATTTTCCAAATCGTCTAACTTTAATAGGTCAATGGCTTTACAACAAATTGCATTGAAAAATAAGCACAACCTAGTTATAGTCTTCCTAACATTGTTAGACAATATCCCACGAATAGCCACTGGTAGTAGCTGTTGCATTAAGACATAACAGTCGTGAGATTTTAAGCCAATTAATTTGAGATCTTTAATTGATACGAGCCTCTTGATATTTGATGAGTAACCATGCGACACTTTAATACTTTGTAAAAACTCAAAAAAAACTTGTTTTCTCTTTTTTAGACAAAGTGTAGCAGGTAGGAGGAAAATATATCTTGTTACCTATATGTTGTGGAGTCAACTCTTCTCGTATACCCATCAAACCCAGATCTAGACGAGCATTATAACCATCTTTTGTCTTGCCTTGAATGTTGAGAAGTGTTCTGATTAAACTATCACATACATTTTTCTCCACGTGTATTACATCAATATAATGTCTTACATCAAGACTAGACCAATATGGAAGATTGAAGAAAACCGACCTCTTTTTCCATATATTCTTTATAGTAGATTGATTTTGGTATTTTCTGAAGACAACATTAATGCCCTATTGTCGTTGATAAACTTCCTCTCCAGTTAAGGGCTTTGGAGCAACATCATGCTCTTGTTCCCCATTGAAAGCTTTCCGTAATCTACGATATGAATGATGACGATTTAGAAATTTTCGATTCCCGAGATAAAATGTCTTCTTTCCTTTTTCAAGTTGATGGTAACATGTGTCTTTTTCACATATAGGGCACGCTTTATGTCCTTTAACTTTATACCCAGACAAATTGCCATATGTCGGATAATCGTTGATGGTCCAAAACAATATGGCATGCATATTGAAATGTTCACCAGAATACGCATAAAAAACATCCACCCCTTCCTCCCACAACACTCTTAAATCATTAATCAGTGAACTTAGATAAACGTTTATGTCATTTCCTAGTTGTTTTGGGCCCGAAATCATCATCGATAACATAATATATTTACGCTTTATGCACAACCTAGGAGATATGTTGTAAATCATCAGGAGAACATGCCAAGAAGTATGGTTAGTACTTAGATTACCAAACAGATTCATTCTATCAGGAGAAAGTCCAAGTCTAAGGTTTCTCGACTATTTTCTAAAATTTGGAAACAAAGAATCTATTTTCTTCCATTGCAAATAATCAGCTACATGGCGAATTTGTCCATCACATTTTCTTTCTTCTGCATGCCATCTAAGATTCATTGCATCATTTGCATTAGCGAATAATCTCTTGAACCTTGAAATTATTGGTAGGTACCATACTACTTTTGCGGGAGGACCCTTTTTGACCACCTCATCTTTCTTTTTGTAGCGTGACGCCTTGTACTTCAGACAATGATTATAGTTTACATACTCTTTTCTGTATAATATGCAATCATTAGGGCATGCATGTATCTTTTCATACTCCAAACCCATTGGAAACAATAATTTCTTCGCCTTGTAATAACGATTTGGCATTACGTTACCTTTTGGAAGCATTTGTGTCAACAATTCAAGCAATTCGGTAAAACTTTTGTCAGTCCACCCATTATTTGCCTTCAAATTAAATGATTTTAACACGGCTGACAAGCGTGTAAAATTTGTGCATCCAGGGCACAAAGGTTTATCCTTGTTACTGCATAAAGTATCATACGTATGTGCCCTCTTAAACGAATCTTGTCCAATATCACGCATCATGTCTTCCAGACGATCATCCATTTCTACACTAACATTATCTCTTTGGGACACATTTGACTTTGCTACTACTTCACAGTGTCATATCCATTGTGTATAACTTTAACAAATCCCTTCACAAATTAGATGATCCATAATTTCTTTCTTATTAAGTTTTGGTTCTTGGTTGGCACAACGAACACATGGACAGAGAAAAAGCACATGATGACTTTTTTCAGCATTACTTTTAGGAGAGGGAAGATTTTTTTAGCATTACTTTCAGCAAACTGTAGAAATTCCATCACTTCATATTCGTACTCAGCACTTAATTGATTAGCTTTCAACCAACTACAATTCATACCCATGTTCTGAAATTAACACATACATAAATCATTGGGACGCCTACAATAATCCCTCTTTTGGACACATTAGAGAGAACAAAAGTCTCTATGTGCAAATACGTGGCATTAAATTAAATTATAAAAGTTATTCCTAACAAAATGGTATTATCAAAAAAATTCTATTACTCAAGAATAATAAATTTATTCCTAACAAAATGATATTATCATAAAAATTATTCCATCATTATTATTCCTAACAAAATGGTATTATCATAAAACTTATTCCTAACAAAATGATATTATCATAAAAATTAACAAGAATAAATATTTAGAAACTATCCATCACATGAATAAATGTTTAGAAATATCTAGTTCATTGCTTTGAAGGGAAAAGCAGAAGTGTCACTGTACTCCTTGCTTACTTGATACTAAGAAAGTAATTAAACTTATGAATACAATATTGCCTAAAGTTGAAACTAATATTTCTGGGGAGCCAAATTAGTCTCCATAACCAAATCAATGTTGCAATATTTATAACTAAATAGTTCAATCTTAACAACAAATTATGCTATCAGATAAGTTATTTTCATTGTTACGTACCATAATGCAAGCTAGATTTGGGCTGTGATGCAGGAATTTCACATTATTAGAAGCATGGAATGCTATGAAAAAATTATTAATGAAAAAAGTTTACATTACCGCGATATTCAAGAAAGCGAAAGCGTTGCAGCGGCGGAGAAGACGAAAAGGTCGCGGCGAGCGGTGAGAATATGTTGTGCAGAAAGAAGAATCAAAATCAAAATTTCTTTTTTTTTTCTTCAGTTGAAACATCAAAATCAAAATTCAATCAGACATTAACATCAGTAACTTAATACGAACACCATTAAAACTCAAAACAAGAGATTCATGATAACCTATTTGCTAAGGAATTTGACCATAAGAAGATTATCATGAAAATCTATTACGTTGAGATAAGCACACAATGTGAGCTGAGGCGAAATCTCACCTCCGAGACAGTTAGACGAGAGATTCATAACGGCGAGATTGACGAGAGATTGTAAATCTGGTGGGATTGTAAACCCGGCGAGATTCAGAACGGCGAGACGGTGAGGAAGTTGGAAGATAGGTATAGGGTTTGGAGATTTGTGCAGTCGGAGAGGAAAGGTGAAATGGTGCCGCGGAGAGAGAGGTTGTTGAGGGAGAGTTTGTAGATTCGGCCAGTGAAATGTTGTAGATTGCGCCGTTGGAGATTTGAGATTGCGCCATTGGAGAGAGAGAGAGAGAGAGAGAGAGAGAGAGAGAGAGAGGTTTGTTTGTTCCATTTGTTGAGGAAGAGTTTGTAGATTCGGTTGGTGTAATGATTTGCTTAATTCTTGTAATAGGGTTTTAGTTTTAAAGTAGTTTTTACATCGGTTAGCATGTGGGCCGATGTAAAATCTTTTCACGGAGACCTTTTTACATTGGTTGCAATTTAAGGCCCGATGTCAAATGTGAAATCTATTATTATTTATTTTTTCATTGAGAACTTTTTACATTGGGCACAAATTCAGGACCGATGTGAAATCCTTTCTTATTATTTTTTCATAGAGAACTTTTCACATTGGTTGCTATTGCAGACCTGATGTGAAATCCTTTATAACAAATCTTCACATTATTTACGAACCTGTCACCTTATTTTTTTTTCATCAGTGAACTTTTCACATCGGGTGAAAATCCAGACCCCATGTAAAATCCTTTATAACAAAATTTCTTATTATTTACGAAACTGTCACCTTGTTATTTTTCACATAAGTGAAAATATATGTCTGATGTAAAATCCTTAAATCAAATATTTTTCACTCCATATTATTATCAAATCTGATGTAATTTTTTTTGACAAATATTTTTCGTATCATATATCTTAAAATTTGATGCCAAATCATTTAACCAAATATCATATTTTTAATAGCAAAGATACAACATCTCGCCTCTATCTCACAATGTTGGCACAAGTCACATCCCTGGCCCACGCATCCTCAAATCTGAAGACGTATTACAAAATTCTTTTTTCCTCTTCCACACTCTTCTCCAATTCAATCTTCAGAGTAGTGTGATCTGAACCAAATCTAAAAAGGTGAGTAACCCTAATAGAATAGGACTTATTAATCCTCATTGCACTATTGACAAATGTTATTGGAGTATCATTGCACTATTTTATTTTATTTTTCTTTCTTTTGTTTCTCTTGACAACAATAAAACATTAGAGATGTTTATATAATTAAAGGTTACGCAGTTAATTGCTCTAAGAAATTGTTTAATGAGTTTATAAAAAGAAATTTTAAATTTTAAATACATATTAAATTTTTGTTAGAGTAATAATTTTTATGTAAAAAGTCAAAAAAATCAAAAGTTAAACGTCTCTCTGTCAACACTTGAATTCTGAGTTAAAATCTCAAATCCCTACACCCCAAAGCCTAACACAATTTTATGGTGTACTTATTCATTCATTCTAATGACATTTTGCTACTTTTTTAAGAACCAAATCTTCATGGATACTCTATCTCGTTTTCACCATCTTAATCCTTATTCTCATCAAAACCCTAAAAAAAATCACACGCTGCCTAAAACCTTTTCACCCCCTTCAATTTCTCTTCCAATTTCAGATACCCATTTTTCCCCTTCTTCTCCTATTCAATTTTCATCGCAAAAAAAATCTCCTTTTTTTCACCCTTTTGATGAATTCAATGAGTTAAGAACTTTGAAGTCTGTCAAGGAAATGCATGCCCAGATGGTTAAAAACCCTAAAAATGTTAACTTTACTACAATGGATGGAACCATGACGAGAAACTATTTGGAGTTCGGTGATTTTGTATCAGCAATAAAAGTGTTCTTTGCGGGTTTTGAAAGGAATTATCTTCTCTGGAATTCTTTTATGGAAAAATTTGAAAGTTTTGGAGGTGACCCGTTTGAGATTCTGGTGGTTTTCAATGAATTGCATAGTAAAGGTGTGGAATTTGATAGTAAAGCTTTCACCTTTGTTCTGAAAATTTGCTTGGCTTTAAGGGAATTGTGTGTTGGTTTGGAAATTCATGCGTGTTTAATCAAGAAAGGGTTTCATGATGATATACACTTGTATTGTGCATTGATCAATTTCTATGAGAAATGTTGGAGTATAGATAAGGCAAATCAAGTATTTCATGAGACTCCATATCAAGAAGATTTTTTGTGGAATACAATAATTATGGCAAATTTGAGGAGTGAGAAATGGAAGAATGCCTTTGAATTGTTTGGTAACATGCAGAGAGTTTCTGCAAAAGCCACTCCTGGCATCATTGTCAAGATGTTGCAAGCATGTGGAAAATTAAGAGCTCTCAATGAAGGAAAACAACTTCATGGGTATTCTTTAAGATTTGGACTAGTTTCAAATGCCGTAGTTTGCAATTCCATTATTAGTATGTACTCTAGAAACAATAGATTCAAACTAGCTAGGGCAGTTTTTTATTCGATGGAGGTTCGTAATCGAAATTTATCGTCTTGGAACTCGATAATTTCGAGTTATACGGACGATGGCTGTTTGAGTGATGCATTCGATATTATCGTCAAAGAAATGGAGTGTTCTGGTATTAAACCTGACATTATAACTTGGAATTCGGTTTTGTCGGGCTATGTTCTTCAGGGGTCATTTGAAATGGTTCTCACTAGTTTTCGGAGCTTGTGTAATGCAGGCTTTGAGCCAGATTCATTCTCGGTAACTAGTACTCTAAAAGCAATTATTGAGTTAGGTTTCTTTAAATTAGGGAAAGAAATCCATGGTTACATAATGAGAAGTAATCTTAACTGTGATGTCTATGTTTGTACTACATTGGTGGATATGTATGTTAAGAATGATTGCTTAGAAAAGGCTCATGCAGTGTTCCGGCACGCAAAGAACAAAAATGTCTGCGCCTGGAATTCTCTGATTTCAGGTTACTCATTCAAGGGACTGTTTGGTGACACCGAAAAACTATTGAATCAGATGGAGGAGGAAGGGGTAAAACCTGATTTGGTGACATGGAATTGTTTGGTTTCAGGTTATTCAATGCGAGGCCGGATCGAGGAAGCTTTGGCTGTGATGAATCGGATCAAAAGTTTAGGAATTACTCCTAACGTGGTGTCTTGGACTGCTTTGATATCAGGATGTTCTCAAAACGGGAAATACACAGATGCCCTACAGGTTTTCAGCCAAATGCAAGCTGAAAATGTAAAACCCAACTCGACAACGATTTGCAGCTTACTTTGTGCATGTGCATGCCCGTCTCTGTTGAAGAAAGGCGAAGAGATTCACTGCTTTAGTATGAAACTTGGGATCGTAAATGATATATACCTTGCGACAGCACTTATTGATATGTATAGTAAAGCAGGAAAGTTAAAAGTAGCACATAATGTTTTCAGCAAAACTCAGGAGAAAACGCTTGCATGTTGGAATTGCATGATGATGGGATATGCTATACATGGCCATGGTGAAGAGGTAATGATTCTCTATGACAAGATGCGCGAAAAATGCATTAGACCTGACGCAATAACGTTCACAGCTCTTCTATCTGGCTGCAAGAATTCAGGTTTAGTCGAAGAAGGATGGAGATACTTTGACAGTATGCATGAAGATTATAATATTATTCCAACGATTGAGCACTACTGTTGCATGGTAGACCTTCTTGGAAAAGCTGGGTTTCTAGATGAAGCTTTGGATTTAATCAAAACTATGCCGATAAAGCCGGATGCGAGTATTTGGGGTGCTCTTCTTGCATCGTGCAGAATTCACAAAAACATTAAGCTAGCAGAGATCGCCGCAGAGAAGCTTTTCAAGATGGAACCGAATAATTCTGCTAACTATGTGTTGATGATGAATTTATATTCGAGTTTAAACCAATGGAATGACGTGGAGCGTCTTAAGCGCTCAATGATTACTTTGGGAATGAAAAGCCCACCTGTTTGGAGCTGGACACAAGTTAATCAGGGTATTCACGTGTTTTCGACAGATGGAAAACCACATCCTGAAGAAGGGGAAATATATTTCGAGCTATATCGATTAATTTCTGAGATACAAAATCTTGGTTATGTAGCTGATCTCAAATGTGTATGTCAGAACATTGATGACAATGAGAAAGAGAAGATTCTTCTGAGTCACACTGAGAAGTTGGCAATGGTATTTGGAGTGATGAAAATGAAAGGTGGATCACCAATTAGGGTTGTTAAGAACACAAGAATTTGTTGCGACTGTCATACAGTTGCAAAGTACATTTCTTTGGCTCGAAATTGCGAGATTTTACTTAGAGATGCTGGCCGTTTTCACCATTTTAAAGATGGAAAATGTTCTTGTAATGATTGTTGGTAAAGAGAGACCAAAGGAAAATATGGAAAATGTGCTTGTAATGATTGTTAGTACAGAGCGACCAAAGGAAAAAACTTTTAAGCATTTCTTGCTCTTGTTGAGGTCTAGTCATGGCGTGACGGTAAGGTTGATGCCTTGACAGAGGGTTTATGAGTTCAAAGTCTGAAAGCGACCTCTTTGCAGAAAAAGACTCGACGTTGAGGGAAAGTCTTGGTGGCACAACGGTAAGGTTGATGCCTTGTGAGAGAAGGTTCTTGATCTGTTTCTTGCTCTTGTATAGGCCAAGTCTTGGCGCAACAGTAAGATTGATGCCTTGTGATAGAAGGTTCTTGATCCGTTTCTTGCTCTTGTATAGGCCAAGTCTTGGCGCAACAGTAAGATTGATGCCTTGTGATAGAAGGTTCTTGATCCGTTTCTTGCTCTTGTATAGGCCAAGTCTTGGCGCAACAGTAAGATTGATGCCTTGTGATAGAAGGTTCTTGATCTGTTTCTTGCTCTTGTATAGGCCAAGTCTTGGCGCAACAGTAAGATTGATGCCTTGTGATAGAAGGTTCTTGATCCGTTTCTTGCTCTTGTTAAGGGCAAGTCTTGGCGCAAAGGTAAGATTGAAGTCTTGTGAAAGAAGGTTTTTGAGTTCCAAATCTGAAAGCCACTTCTTCGCACGTGAAAAGGTTGGAAGAGATACATTACTTGGGAGTCAACATCATCACCATCAGGATACCAAGCAAGTTACTGAGTTACAAACATCTACCATACAATTTGTGACTCAGATGTTGATTTTCCCAACAAGTGTTTGGTTTCTTGAATATGTAAATTTGATTTTGACAGCTCTAGAGTAGAATTAATTCTGCTTTTTAAAGTCGATTTTATTTGAAATTAGGATTTTTAGTTTTTGAATTTAAACGTACACTGAAATTTAAATTTAATATACAAATTATTTTTGCAAGTTTCAAATATAAATTACTTTACCTTCGACTGATTTTTTAGATAATTCAAATTCATTCTCTTGTTTTTGTTGAGTTCATTGTGGGAGTATACTTGACTTTTAGATAATTCAAATTTATTCTCATATTTTCATTGTGTTCATTGTGTTCATCATCCGAATGTTAACCGTTAAATAATGGTTCTAATCAAAGTAATACTTTTTCTGATCCCTAGTTGTGCTGTATGGTTTTACCATGGCTTTAACATTCAATGTCATGGTTTTACCATGGCTTTAACATTCAATGTCAGGAAACATTTTTCAACAAAATTTCATATCTCCAAAGACACTCTAACCCACCTGCAAAAGAGTTCTTTGGATGTTTCTACCTATTTAACCAAGTTAACTTCTCTATGGGAGCAGATTGATTCACTATGGACAACTAGCAATTGTAGTTATGTCCTCCTTTGCACATGTGGTGCTACATTGGACCTTTAGAAAATACAAAACTCAGGATCACATCATAAAATTTCTAAAGGGGCTCAATGCACCTTTTTCAACAACTCATTCTCAGAGTCTCCTGCTCAATCCTCTGTCGTCTCTTGATAAGACCCTCTACATGGTTCTAAGATAGGAACGCCAGTCAACAACTTTTGGCTCTGGTAATCCAACAATAGTTATACATTTTCAACATGCTAAAACTACTGGAGGAACTCAGGGCACCTTTTTATACTGTGGTCGGGGTCGATCTAACATCAGACGTGGCTAATCCCAACAAGTTTGCACTCACTATGGCCACACGAATCACAATGTGGAGACTTGTTTTATCAAACATGGTTACCCACTATATTACAATTATAAGAGCACCAAAGCATCAATTAACAACACAAATCTTCACCTCTTGCTAGAATTCTCTCGCTACTATATAAGACCAATAGAACAAGATTATCCACCTTATTCATCAACAAGTTTCATCTTTTACTCCATCTGTGTCTGAAGCAGCTTTTCCTCACATAAATTTTGTAACGACTTCGTCAGATGGTAAGTCACATGTATATTGGTTGATTTATACAAGTGCTACTCATCACATCACTTATAATTTTATATATTTTTCTGATTATTCCTATGTCACTCCTATAAACATGAAACTTCCTAATGGCTTTACTGTCCTCACTATCACTAACATTTCGGGAATTATTTCTCTTTCAAATTCTCTAATCCTTAATAATGTTTACTATATTCCAACTTTCATTGTTAACTTAATTTCAACAACTAAATTAATTGATTCTTTTCTTTATTATCTTACTTTCACTAATACTCTATGTTCAATCTTGCAGGAACATTCCAGAAAAGTGATTGATTCAGCTGATAGACATGGAGACCTCAATGCTCAACCCGTTTTGTTACAAATAAAAGAAATTTTCTCACCGTCGTTGATGACTTCACTCACTTTACTTGGGTTATCTTTATGACCCATAAGAGTGAAACTAGAAAACATTTACTTAATTTTATATTTTACATAAACACTCCATTTTTTCTAAGATAAAATGCATCCATACTCGTCACACCTTAATTTTTAACCCTAAGATACCACCTTATTTTGCATCATATTGTATAATGTTTTAAGTCAATCATTCATGCATAACTAACCAAGTTGTCAAGCTTTGTCTTGTTTGTTTTTGTTCATCTTTGAATTAAGGTCTGTTTCTAGAAGGTTAAGGGGTTGACCAGTTAAAATTTTGGATGGATCATCAACCAAGCAAGTTCTCACACTCCTAAAAAGCTTATCTCTATCAAATGTCAAGGACAAAAAGACCTCACATCAAATTCTTCAAAGATTCAATTGCACCTAACCAAGAACTAGGGTTTCCTCAATCAAAGTCAACTGCATCTTTGACTATTAGTCAAGACATGATCTCAAGTTTTGGGATATGATTCAGGACACCTAAATACACCCATGGAGTCCATTCATGGTGTTCAAATAGCCCAAGAGGTTATTGTTGTTGAAGATCAAGAAGTGAGGATTCATCTGATAAAATGTCAACTGTATCTCTAAATCAAGGTTTGACTTTTAGGAATTTTGGTCAACTAAGGGTTCCTTAAGTCATGGATAAGGATAACATGTGGTTTGCGTTATGATTAATCAATGAAAATCAAGGAATTGGAGGTTACTTTCAAAAAGGGCAACAAGAGGAAAGTTGGATTTTTCTTAGTCATGAAGGAAAACCTAATTACCAACTTGCTAAGGGCATAACTCACAATCTAGACATCCATTTTCCTTGATCTAAATATCAATTTGAAGAGCACTTTACATACTACAACTTTGTTAATATGAGTGAATTCTCTAAAAGTGAATGGTTTCAAGTTAGGAGGACATAAAATTATGAAAAACAAGATTTTGGAATCTTATACTTAGAATTTTTTTAAGTATGAAATTTTAACTTGGATGGTAAGTTTTCAAAGCTTTCTTTCTCATGGTTTTAGGCTCCAATTCAACTTTCTTACAACATGTGAGTTGTTAGGTGTCGCTACTGCGAAAATCGGCGCCGGCTGAACAGAAGAGTCGCCACCGTGCGTTATTTATCCCAACGGAGGGAAAGGAAACGCTCGAAGTAAACCTACCGCAAAGACGGGAAAGGAATGGTCATCGCAACCAAATCCTGGATTCGGGAGTCGGTTACGCAAGGGGAAGGTTTAACACCCCTCACGTCCGTCGTACTCGACGGGATCCACGCTTGTTTCCTGTCGAAAGGATTGTTATTCTACCTATTCTACAGGCCTGGGGTTAAAAGAAAAGAAAATGACTCGGCAAAGTATCGCACTTTATGCCTACGTATTCCCGTCTGGGACGAGAAATTAGAGTCAACGTAGTTCGCCTACCTACGGGAAAGGAGGGGAAGGTTGCTCGCTAGGATATCGCATCCTGTGCCTACGTACTTCCACACGGCATGAAAGATCAGAGCAAACGTAGTTCGGGAAACGTACGACACAAGTCTGTCTTGATTGCTTTTATCTCCTTCTGAAAAAGGGTTTTTCTGATTAACAGTCCAAGCGGACAAAAATGACGTTTTGATGAGTTCACATTCTTTTACGGAAGAAGTGTCTTTTATTGTGTTTGAAATATTTATTATGTTTTTCTGTTTGTTTTCAGAAAGAAGAGACAAAACTCTAACCTAAGGTTGAAAAGGGAATCAAACTAACCTAATGTTATCATGCATGGATTAAGACCTAATGTCTATCATGTTCCTCTCTTGCGCAGAGAGAAACAGAGATCCTAAGGGATAAGCGGAAACAGAAACAATATATACAATAAAACAGTAAAATGAATGAATGCAGCAATAGAAGCGAGGCAAGGGAGTCCCACTCAACCTCGAACCTAGAAAACAACAGGCAAAAGCGAACAAGATTCGCTTTCAACCTAACAGATTAATTGGCAAACAATACAGTCCGGGAAACTCAAACAATACATCAAAAGCTTATAAACATAAAAAATAAACAACAAACAGCAACTCTGCACAGCAAGCTCCATCATCTTCTATCTTCAAGTCATCTTCAAACATCTACAAGCTTCAAACAAGCATCAATCTTCAAGGAAAGAAACTCTAACAGTAAACCTCTCCAACAGCTTCAAACAGCAGGGCTTCAAACAGCAGCAGTCACAAGCACAGCTTCAACAGCACAATCTTCATCTTCAAGCAAGGTCTCTATCTTCAATCTTTCATGGCTTTTCTTCAAATCAAACTCTCCAAGATGAGGAACCATCAATAGGATGAACTGAGATGTTAAACAGTTAGTTGACCACCAAAGGTGGCAAACAGACTGTTAACAAAATGTAGAATGTTTCTCTCAAGAGTTCTATCTCTTAGATACTGTCACCAAGCCTTCCAAAGGAAGGGGGTGAGTATCCCAGAGAGACTCTGAATCATAGAGAGGGATGGAGGCAAACAAAGCCATCCATGTTTATGAAGCAAGTTTCTACTTTAAGCTCTACCTAGCTCCTAGTTCCTATAAGCTTCAACAGCTGCAAGCAAGCTACAATCTTCATCAACTCTGGAACTTGATCTTCACTCCTTTGGTCTTC